TCCCGATTAGTTAGACTTGGGAGGCAGAGAATAGATGGGGGCAGGGCCAGTCAGAATTTTTACTACCGGTTCTCCGAACTACTCAAATTTTCCACTACCGGTTCTCCAGAACTGGTCAGAACCTGCTGAAACCCACTTCTGCAACAGGGTTCAGCAAAGCTTTGCTATAGCTAGAAGCTTGCATGGAGGTGGTTTTGATCTATTTCTGTTACCTTGAAGAAAAAATTTGTCCCAAGTTCCTGCAAACCTCGAACATGGGAGTGAGCTGAAATCTAAAAATATAGTTAAATGAAAGAGCATTGCTATTTTTTCCCTACCTCATTCATTTTGTACAGCACTCTCCTTCTCTCAGGACAGATGTATGGTAGAAGTGTTGACACAAATACAACACATTTGGTTATTCACTTCACAAGCTTTTGTGAATTAAGCATCTTTCTCTTCTGCCGGCTTTGCCCACGCCTGAGAGTAATTGAGTTGTCCTGTGACTATTTCTTTTTTCCTGGTGTGCTTGTATCTGTGTCTCTTCTCTTAATCTCAAAGGTTTTGTTTATACATTGATTTATAACCTAAGATGACCACAGTCTATTATCTAATCTCACAAGTTAGGAAATTTGTTATCTGAAAAAAAAAGGTGATATTGTAAAGCAATTTATTATTGCAGATATGGGGTTTATTACATGATCAGTGGATTTGTAGGGCAGGTAGTCCTCAATTTATAACCTTTCATTTTGAGACTGTTCAAAATTACGACGATACTGAAAAAAGTGAGTTTTTCACATGACCATTGCAAAAACCCTGTAATCATGTGATCAAAATTCAGGCGCTTGGCAATTGGCATGTATTTATGATAGTTGCAGTGTCCAAGGGCAATATGATGATCTTTTGCAACTTTCTGACAAGCAAAGTCAATGGGGAAGCCAGATTTAATTAACAACTGCAGGGATTCACTTAACAATTATGGCAAGGAAGGTCATAAAATGGGGCAAAACTCACTTAACAACTGTCTGGCATAGCAATAGTTGGGCTCAATTGTGATCGTAAGTGAAGAATATATACTGAGGGTAGGAAAAAAAAAATGATGCTAGAGCTGATGCTCTTTGCCAGCTGCTATAACTAACACAAGCAGGTGTAAGTATTGCAAAATGAATAAGTATTTAAGGAATCACAAGCATTGGAGCACACGCTTTGCACAAAACCTTAGGCTT